TGACCACTGGCCCTGAGGGGAGGATGGAAAACAATGCTTTCCAGCACCCAGGTCCCGAGGATGGGGGACAGCCCGGCCCGCTTGCTGCCCCTCAGCCTCTGAGGCTGCCGGCCCGGAAGCTGGGGCTCCTGGTTTCCAGCCAGGGCCGCAGGTGGCGGGTCCGGGGCCGCCAGCCGTGGCTGTGTCGGCCTCTGTATGTGCCTGTGCTGCACATTAATGAGTGATTTGGGACTTCTAATCAAAACCAGACATCACCTTGCGGCTGTCTGCAGGCTCTGCCAGCGCCCTCCGGGACCGCAGAGGAGCCCAGTACTGCCTCCGGGGCTGCCTGGGCTCTGAATGCCACAGTCCCTGGAGAGACTGGAGGCCAGGCCCCTGTAGGGCCCCCTGGGCATGCCTCTAGAACACCCCCTCCCCAGGCACCCCCACCTGCAGGGCTGGGTGTTGAAAAAGGATAAGACGATTCAAGATGGCAGCAGGGGTGGCTCCCAGGACAGGAAGCATCGTCCATCTGCCTCCTGTCCTCCCTGGGGATGCTCCCTGCGCCCTGCTCCTGCACAAGTCACTGGCGCTGGGGTCCTTGCCTGACCTTGGCAGACCGTGCTGCCACGGCCTGGCGCTGTGCGGTGCCAAGCTGAGGTCAGGGCTCTGTGCACAGGAGGTGCTGACGAAGGGCGACTTCGCAGATGGCGCCTGCTGGGAAGCCGCGGGCCTGTCACTCCCCGGGGCTGGCTCGGCTGCTCTTTGCTCTGACTGCTCGTCAAGGAGGGAGGAAGGGAGGCCCTGACAGCACCGGTGGGGGGCCAGGGGACCCTGTGTGGGCAGATGTTCCAACCAGGTCTGCAGTGACGAGGGTCACATCTCACCCAGCCTGCCACTGCAGGCAGCTCGAGGCTGTGTGAGCTCCACCTGCTACCCTCGGTCCACCAGGCCCCCCAGCCGCGCACCACGCATCCTGTCCTCCACCTGCTGGACGCGTGGCCCCTTCCAATAGCTCGAGCGTGTTCCTGCACTGAGGCATTGCACTGGCAGAAACACAGCCATGTGGTAGTACCCCTGTCCCTGAGACCCTGAGGCCCAGTGCCCCGCCTGTCCTCTCCCATCCCCTGTCCTCTTCTTCTTTGTGCTGCTGAAGTGAATGCATTCATTTATTGCCTTCACATTTTGTGAGAGCCAGTGCTGTGGCATAGCCAGTTGAGCTGCTACCTGCATCTCTGGCCTCATGGAAGCACTGGTGAGAGTCCTGGCTGCCTCACTTCTGATCCAGTTCTCTGCTAACGGCCTGGGAAAGAAGCACAAGACAGCCCAGTGCTGGGGAGCCCTGCACTCACATGGGAGACCTGGCTAACACTGGCTCCTAGCTTCGGCCCAGCTCTGGCCAGTGTGGCCATTTGGAGAGTGAACCAGTGGATGGAACATCTCTCTGTGTCTCCTCCCATTGTTAAACTTTGCCCTTCAAAATACTATTTTTTTTAAAAAGCTTATTATTATTATTATTTGGTTACTTGGAAGGCAGAGAGAGGGCGAGCTGTCTTCTGGTCACAGTTTGCTTGCCACATGCCCACATAGCCAGGCCTGGCCAGGTCAGGAGCTCTGTCCTGGTCTCTGATTTGGGTGGCACCGGCCCAAGCAGCGAGGGCATGGTCTGCAGCCTTCTCAGACACGTTGGTAGCTGCCAGGCTGAAAGCAGAAGTGCCAGTACTAAAGCCAGCCTCCCAAAGTGGGCTGTGGGGGTGCTGCCATGCCAGCGTCCTGGAGGAAGGCGTCTCCTTTGGCCTGTACCCCGTCGCGCTGTCTGGGACACAGCAGCAGCTGCTCCAAGTACTTGTGCCCTGACGCCCATGTGAGGACCCAGATGGAGCCCCTGGCTCTAGACCATTGCAGCCATTTGGAGAATGAACCATTGCATAAAAGATTCTTTCTTTCTCTGTCTATCAAATCAACAAAGCATTTATTTAAAAAAAAAAATGTAACATGGGGCCCGGCACAAAGGCATAGTAGCTAAATTCTTGCCTTCACATGCCAAGATCCCGTATGGATACCAGCTGCTCTACTTCCCATCCTGCTTCCTGCTTGTGGTCTGGGAAAGCAGTGAAGGACAGCCCAAAGCCTTGGAACCCTGCACCGGCGTGGGAGACCCAGAAGAAGCTCCTGGCTCCTGGCTTTGGATCAGCTCAGCTCTGGCCATTGCAGCCCTTTGGGGAGTGAAGCAGCAGACGGAAGATCTTTCTCTCTGAATCCCCTTCTCTGTGCACATCTGTCTTTCAATGAAAATAAATAAATCTTTAAAAAAACAAAACAGTGTTACATATGGGGGCTACCGTGGTGATACAGCAGGCTAATTCTTTGCCTGCAGTGCCAGTACCCCAAAATGGGCACTGGTTTGTGTCCTGGCTGCTCCACTCTGATCCAGCTCTCTCTGTCTGGGAAAGCAATGGAGGATGGCCTTAGATGAAGTTCCTGGTTCCTGGCTTTGGATGAGCTCAGCTCTAGCTGTTGCGGCCCTTTGGGGAGTGAGCCAGAAAGATCTTTCTCTCTCCTTCTCTTTGTAAATCTGACATTCAAATAATAATAATAATAATAAAACCCTTTAAAAATATAGCACATATCCAAATGTGAGGCACACCTCCAGTGGTTCCGGTATAAACTTGTAGGAGGTGTAAGTTAGTTCACTTGCGAGTTACATTAGCAGGGAAGTTGCATGTATTTAAAGTTACACATCAGGTATGCATCGCCTACTTAGATATTTCTTGGGGAACAGGCAGATAAGCCACTGCCCACTGTGCTGGTACTCTGTAAGTTGCAGCTACTCCCCTTCCGGTCCAGCTCCCTGTTAAGCAGCCTAGGAAAGCAGCAGAGGATGGCCCAAGAGGCTGCAGCCAGAGCCAGTTCAGATTGCAAACAGCTGCTAGAGAACCAGGGTAGGAGGGAGGTCAGACACAAGGCAGATACCGATAGGTGCAGAGCAACACCACACAGAACCGCAGGACAGGGCATGGATTCCAAAGGAAAAGTCTGGGGCTCTGCCTCCAGCCCCACGGAAGCCATGATGGCCACCCAGGAGCCCTGTCGGCACCCCCAGAGCTGCTAGCCTGGGAGTCAGCAGGCTGTGGATCTGCCAGCGTCATCTGCCTGAAGACAGGAGCCTGACCTGCCTCATCATAAATAAAGCTGCAGATTGGAGCAGCATCAGGCTGCAGCTGACACTGCACTTCCCTGCAGCACAGCGCCGGGGAGGAGGCTCCAGGTGACACTCCTGGGGATGCCAGCACCCTGGGGAAACCCTGTGCCCAATGAACTGTGCCACTGGCTCCTTCCGGGCTGCTCTTCCAGGTGCAGGAGCAGGGAGCTGGACTGAGAGCAGGGCAGCTCACCGCAAGGGCCCTGGGTCTTGTATTTCGAGGGAGGGAACCGAAGGCCTTGGACGAGACAGGCCAGAGTATGCTGGAGGCCCCACAGGTCTCTCCCGCCCTTGGCTGACTCTCCCCCCATTTCCAGCCTGTTTCCGACAAGCACATCTAAAGCGAGAAAAATCGAAGTGGTATTGCCCTGAGCCAACATGGCTCTGGCTGTGCAAGTGAGACCCGGCCCTGCTCACGTGGGCACCTGTGGTACTGTCACTGTGTGACAGGGACTGTTGTGTGTGTTGAGCCGATCCAGGGTTCAAGGCCGCTGGGGGCAAGCGCTCCTCAGCGTGTTCGGACCCTCCCAACAAGCACCCACGGGCAGCTTCTGGGTAGGCCCTGCTCAGAGGGCTGGGAGCTCACTCTGACGGCATGAGTGCCCCACCGAGCTGGGTGGGTATCTGTGGGGTGTCTGGCTGGTGCGGGAGGATTCCAAGGGCCTGGTGGTCTGGTGTGGCCAGCGCAGGAAGGCGCGACCGCTGACCTCTGACCCCTTTGGTTGCCAACTGCAACACATCCTTCCCCATGTGCAGATCTGTCAGCCTCACGTGTCAGCGGCTGAGAGGGCAGACAGGGACGCAACTCCGTCCTGGAGGGAGGTGCCCTGGGCTGCCTACCCACTGTGGCCACCCCGCAAGCTCTCTGGGGGCTCTCAGATGTTGGCAGATGGCAGAAGTGAATCTGCTGAGAAGTCACTCCAAAAAAGGAAAGTTGAACTGAAAAAAAAAAAAAAAACATTCAAACTCTTCAACATGTCAGGGAAAAGCAGAAGAGGAAAGAAAGGCCGCTGTGATCTGGAGCCCTCTGCGGGGTACAGACGTTGGGAACCGTCTGCGGCGTCTGCGGCCGGGCAAGTGTGCAGTGCCCCACCGGCAGGCCCGCGCTTCCAGGCTGGGATGCGGCAGTCCTGCCCCAGGAACAGGTATGGGGGCGAGCTCTGGGCGCCCCTGAGCGTACCCTCCCAAGTGGAGCTGGGCAGGACTGCGGTGCGCCACGCTCACCTGCGTTGCACCTCCCGCGATCCCGTGGTAAGGGGGGGGGTGCTGAGAGCGCCGCGGGGAGCTCTGGCCCTCCGGGATCGCCCCCTCCCCACCAGGGGCCACTCCGGAGTTACAAGTTAGCGGCTCGAAGCACCTTCTGGTGAGCGCGGCGGGGGAGGAGGAGGAGGAGGGCGGCGGGATGGGAGGCACTCTCCCCTCCCCCGTCCTCTCCCGAGCTGCCAAAAGGAAACTCGGCGTCGCCCCCGAGTGAGTGTGCGGCGGCGCGGACGCGCGCGGCTCGGGGCGCGCAGGGCCCGGGCAGGCGACGCGGGCTCTTTAAGGAGCCCGAGGGGGCCGGGCCGGGGCGCGTCGGTGCGGGCGGGGAGCGGGGAGCGGCGAGGCCGAGCCACCGCCTCCCGGGCTCCCGCCCCGCCTCCTCCTCCCCCGCCCGCCGCCGCCGCCGCCGCCGGGGAGCGCGGAGCCGCGGGCAGGCCGGGCCGCACCGGAGCCCCGCGTCCCCCCGGAGCCGTGCGCCCGCGCCCTGCGCCCCGCCATGCGCGCCACGTTGCGGGCCGGGCACCCGGGGCCGGCGCCCTAGGAGGCGGCGGCGGGAGGATTGCGCCCGAGCCACAGGCCGGGCCTGCTGCGCGCCCCCAGCCCGGTCGGCACCGCCACTTGCCTGAGCGCCCGGGCGGCCCGAGCGTGCCCCGAGCCCGGGCGCCGCCGCCGCCGCCACCTCCGAGAGGTGAGTAGCGGCCGAGGGTCCCCACGGAGGGCCGGGGGCGCGCTTCCGGGGGCTGGGGGACGGCCGGGCGGCGCACGCGGCGGAGTTGGCTGGGCCCCTGCACTCGGAGTTGGCGCTCTCGGGGTGGCCTGCCGGGGAGCGCGGCGCACGGTCGCCACCGCGGCCCGCGTGCTTGGGGGCGCCGGGGAACTTAGGGGAACTCCAGCGCCCGGGCGAGGGGCGGGAAGGAGGGAAGTGGCGTGGCAGGGGGAGCGCCTGGAGAGGCGCAGCCGGAGCCCCCTCCTCTCCCAGGCAGCCCCGCACTTGCTGGCGAGGCGACGCTGCGCTTTATTTTCCAGCGTGTTTGGGGAGCCGTTGGCGGTGGCACTCCCAGCCCCCCCACCCCTCCCTCCCGCCCCAGTCTGGCGGCTGTGGAGGGGGTCGTGGGGGGCTGTGGAGGGGGTCGTTGGGGGGGGTGCCCGCGGCCGAGGTGGGGGCCCGAGAGCGCTGGGCGGGGTCCCGGCAGGGGCGCCCCGTGTCCCAAGCCCCCCACCGCCCGCCCCGGGGCCAGGGTTCCCGGCGCCTGGGCCTGCCTCCCGCGCCCGGTGCCTGCCCTGGGCGGTGTGGAGACTCGGAGGCCACGAGGAGTTTGGGAAGTTGCAATTCAGAGCTGAGCTGGCTGGGCTGGGCTGGCCAGGGGGTGGGTGGGAGGGGGAGGCCGGGCCCTCGTAGGGGGCGCGGACGCGGGGGGCACGCGCGGTGTGCTTCCTTCCTGTCCTGGGTGCTCGCTGGAGGGGGAGGGCGCGGCAGCGGGCTGGCTGCTGGCGAGGGGCGACAGGCGCTACATTTTTGCGTGGTGGGTTTGTTTTTCTGGGAGCGAGCGTCTCCCCGCCGCGCGCCCAGCCCTCGGAGACTGGTGCAGGCCGCGGGGGCGGATCTGTTCCGTGGGCTCAGCCTCCTCCCCCTCCCCCCTGTCGGTGAGAACTGGTTTTATGATGATTCTTATTTTTTTCCTCTTTGCAGATTTGCAGGAAGGATGTGTGAGGGAGGGAGGGAGGGGGCGGTCTGGGCACGCTGGGATGCCTTATCAGAGGCTGTGACTTGGCCGGTTTGAAACCAGGTCTGGGTCCCTGGGGCTGCAGGAGCAGACGGGGGGGGGGGCACCTCTGTGCACGTGCTCCCCCCCCCCTTTTTTTTAAATTTTGAGGAGGGTTGTAGCCCTGCAGGCCCTGGGCAAGCTACCTAATGTCTGTGGGCCTGGGGCTTGTGTTGCCTGCAGAGAGGCATCCTCAGCCTTGACCCTTTCCAGCCTGGGCGTGGGGTGGGGTTCCCTTGAAGAGATGACCTGCCTCACTCCTGTGAGGGGGAGCGCTTCGGAAGGGGTGCCTGGTGCTCCGTGCGGCTCCAGGGCACCCCAGGGGTTCTCATCCCTGCTCTGTGCCTGGTGCCGGTGCCAGGGATGCCTGAGGGGCCTGAGCCCAGGTGTGGGGTGGGAGCTGGGACCGGCCCTGGCCTCTCCTCACCAGGCTACTTAGGCCGGCTCTGGGATCAATACTATTGATAAGTCCATGGCTGTGGTCATGTGGCTGTCAGGCCCCTGTGAGGGTTGGAGACTCCTCCCTGGCTGGGTCCACAGCACTGCAGCCCCTTCCCAGAGCTCTGGCAGTGTGGATTCTGCTGGGGCCAGGGCCGTGTGTTGGGGGGCAGCCGTGTGTTGGGGGGCAGCCGTGTGTTGGGGAGGGCCAGGGCTGTGTGTTGGGGGGCAGGACCGTGTGTTGGGGGGGCTGGGCCGTGTGTTGGGGGCGTCCAGGGCCGTGTGCTGGAGTCCTGGCCTGACCTCTTGTGTTAAGCTGCAGAGGGAGGCTGCTTTGCCCTGGGAGGGGCGTCCCTGTTCTGGGTCCCTTTCCAGGTCGGTAAGGGCCGGGTGTGAAGGCCAGCTGCCCAGCTCTAGGGGCTCCTCGAAACCTATCTGGGAGAAGAGAGATCTTCAGTTTTCAAAGCGGAACCCCTCCCCCACCCCCTACTCTAACCCACCCTGTGGCTGGGGCTGGGCTGGCATCCTGTGCTCTGTCCCCTCCTGGGGACACCTGCCAGACTCAGCTCCCTGCCAGGGGACAAGCTTGCAGGGGCTGGTAATTCCTGCCTGAGGTGCCCCGGGGGACCAGGCAGGGAGGGGCTGAGCCTGGGCTGCTGTCTGGGGACTGCGAGCCTCTGTCTCCTCCCCTCCCTGGGGTGCGTCTGCAGGGTCCCCCAGGAGGTGAGCAACGGGAGAAGCTGGGAGGCAGGGAGTGTCGCGGGAGCCTGCAGACTGCCAGTGATGGTGCCAGCCCCCGCTGTGCGCACCCTGTGCCCCGTGGACTCTGGGTGACCTCTGGGGGTGGGGGGGGCGCTGCTCCTGTCCCTCACTGCTGATGCCGCAGAGAAGGTTCAGAGAGGTTCAGGGACTCCCCCAAGGCCATGCAGCCTGGACTCGGGTCTGACTGCATGCGGGACTCAGGAGAGGAGTGGCACCTGCCGGTCCCAGCCGCGGTCGGGGGTGGGGAGGAGGAGTGTCCCCCCCCCCCCGGCCCTGGGGGGAGGGGCTCGTGCCAGTGGCAGGCCTGGCATTTCTTTGAAGTCTCTTCTTATCTCCAGTGCTCATGCAAATCTGGCATTCGCCCTGGCGACGTGGCTGTGTTTGTTTTGAAATGAAAACATGGCTTTGAATTATTTAACGTGCTGTGTGGAACGGGCTCCTCCGGAAAGCTACATCAGGGCCAGGGTGGCGGCCTCCGGGGTGCCCGGGGCTGCGGCTGTGTGGCTCTGGCTGCTTCACGGTCCATGTGTATCTGAGGGCACAGGTCAGAGAGAGGCTGGCCTGAGGTGGCACAGCAGCGGGGGAAGGGCTTCTGTTGTTGGGCGAAGCTTGGGTCCGGAGTCTCGGTGCTTCCCACAGCCCTGCCTGGGTGTGCCCCAGGGGCCTTGAGCATGACAAAGAATCACCGGAGCAAGCGCCCACGACGCTCGGGCAGGGTTTTATCCACTACTCCTGGGACAGCGGCCGATGGGCGCTGGGCGTTCAGGCCACGGCTCAGCTGATGCCTGTGTTTGGCAGAGGGTGGGTGCCTTGGCGGAGCGCGGGCGTGTGGCCACCCTGCCGGGGGGCAGGGCCATATGTGCATGCTTGGTTCTGCGGCTGCAGACTGCTGTTTCATGCTGGGCAGATCCAGCCTCAGTTTGCTCATCTCTGAGATGGGGTGCTGCTGCCAGCTCTCTCATGTCTCATGTGACCCCACTGTCTGGCCAGCGGGCTTGAGTGGAGAGCGGAGATGTCCCTTCAGGGTTTGTGGCAGGAAGCCAGGGGAGCAGGTGTGGGCTGGCTGGGTGCTGCCCGGTCCTCCCTCCTCAAGGCCGTGTCGGGCCCTTTGCTGTATCCCAGGCGTTTGCTCGTTGCCCTGTGGACCCGGTGGCTACTGCCGGGCCTGCTGGAGCCTCACACACATACTGCTTCCGTCTGGGGCCTGCCCTGCCTTCAGCTACCCAGTGCTGGAGCTCGTGGCGGGGGTTGGGGTGGTCGCAGTGGGTTCCTCGCCAGTAGAGAGAAAGAACCTCAGTGGTTTTAGCAAAGGAGCTCCCGGAGGTCAGACCTGGGGTCACATTGTGCCTGGCCAGTTAGTGATGTAGTCCCCTGCCTCAGTTTCCCCACCGCAGGGAGGTGTCAGCCTGGGACACGCCCTGTGAGTGGTGTGTGGGGCCTTGGGGTGGGAGCAGCTGAGCTGCCACTTAAATTTCACTGATATCTCAGTGGCCACCCGAGGCTGGGGTCAAGCCTGGGCGCTGGCCCTGGCTGACCTGCCTGTGTCATCCCAGAGGGGCCGGACCCTGGGGTGGCCTTCTCATCCCAGACCTCTCCCAGGGCTGTGTCCTGCGTCCCCTGTCCGCCTCCGCTGCCCCCAGCCGCTGGGATGATGCATTTGGTAGAACTTTCCACAGTGTGGGGTCTGTGCTAGATCCACTAGCCACAGGAGGTCTGGAACCCGTGAAGTGGGGCTTTTATCGACTCAGTTTCCACGAATGGCAAGAGGCTTGCCTGGCTGGTGGCTGAACCTTCTGTCTGTAATAGGCCCTGTGCCCGTGATGGGCGGTCTCCTTGGCCAGATTGCCACCACTTTCCCAGACTGACATGTCCAGGTCCGTGCATGGCATGGGCAGCTGTGCCCAGCAGTAGGCCTTGGTGCCCACGCTGCTGACCCAGCAGCTCCAGGAAGCTAGACCCAAGCCAGCCCCTTCTGCTGCTGCAGATGGCTGGGTAGAGCCTGCTGGCCGTGAGGAGTGGCTGTTCTGTGAGCGCTGACCCCTGGAGGTGCCGCCCAGTGAGCACTTCAATGGGAGGGAACTTCTGGCAGTGCTTGGAGAACCAAGTCCCATGCAGGAGCCTTCCGCTAGTGTGTGTCATGGCCATGCTGTGGGTGGATTCAGCCCTTGTTGCAGTTTATCTTTTAATTCCTTCCTAAAAGGAAGTTTTGTGTTTCATTTGGAAAATGAATGGAGTTACGGCATAGTGGGCTGGGTGGCCGCCTGTGACGCCAGCCCCCCGTCTGCTCCACTTCCCAGGCTGCTCCCTGCTGCCATGCAGCAGCTGCCGGTCTAGGACGTGGGAGATCCGGAAGGAGCCCCCGGCCCGGCTCTGGGAGGTGCGGGAGGGATGGGAAGTCTCTCTTTTTATGCTTTTCAAATAATCAAGCTTCTAAAAAAATACAAAAAGAGACCGATGCGTCCAGGATGCTGCTGCTTCTCTGGCTTTACAGAAGTCACTCTTGGGTCCCTGGCCTCGTGGTGCTGGTCCGTGCCGGCGTCACAGCTCTGCGGCGGCTCCCTTGGAGACGCGAGGCGTATCTCTGTCTCAGACGGAGGTGTGTGAGACGTGGCACCGAGCTCGCTGCACCCTCGGCTGGGGCTGGCCCACCTCCTGCTTTTGTACAAGCCTAAGTTAAAGCTGTCTTATTTTTTTTAATGGTTGAAAAAAAAGCAATAATAATAAT